AAAAAGAAAAAAAAAATTGATGATGAAGAAGATAAAAATATCAATGATAGGACTTTTTATATTCTTTTAATTAAAATTTCAACACTAAAGCACAGCTTTGAGGATACTTTTCTGAAATTATTTATGAAAAACGCGAAATTTATCTAAGACTTTCAAAACAAGATGTAATTTATATAAGAGATGGAATAAAACTGTTGAACTCAACTGGACCTCAACTCAATATATCATATCAAGGGGTTGTTATTTCATTTGTCAAAGGATTCAAAAGTAGACGAATATAGTTTAACACCTACTCAAATCTGTATTGCTAAAACACATTCAAAATTCGGATATGAAACTAAGGTTGAGATAAATTTAACGTTAAGAATGAGAATTCCATTACTAGAAGAATTTTGTTTTTGGAATTATTATTCTCAACTACTTTAATTTATGGTTCTTAAATTATAATAGTAAAATTAGCGAAATTCATAAAGTTCACAAAAGACAGCTTGTTAACCCAGAATTTCTTGAAAATTAATGATGATATTAGTTTTTATTTCTTCTTGGATTTATTGTTCTTTATTATTTTTTCTACACTTAGCTTTTTTGTCCTTGTTATCGCCGACAGAAATGAGAAATCTAGGGAAAACTTTAATTTAATGAACAGCTTCATTCCGGAAACTCGACAACTCGTTTATTTAAACATTTTTACCGTTGCAATTTACAACTATTTACTGGGTCAACATCTTTGTTTATAAAACTGTTTGTTTTTTTAATTATTTTCGTTCTCCTAATTTTGCTTTAAAAAATTTCCAAGGTATTCTTTATCATTAAAAATAATTATCTTTTTGTTGTAATTTTAAAAGCAGGTGATTTGAAGTTTAGGTAAAAATTTTACACAAAAACCTCACCTGTCTTTGAAAAGAAGGTGGTTTGTTAGAAAGAATAATTTATTAGGGGCAGGTGGAAAAAGAAAAAAACATCTGCTTTTGTAGCTTTTCGGTTTAAATGTAACTTTTAAATCAAAAACATTTTTTGCCTTGCATAACTCACGTGTTTTAAACATATTTGTAAACTACTTAACCTTGTACGTACTTTGTATCATAAATATTAAAATATTATAATTCCGCAATAATAAACAATAACAAAATTCTTTTTGTCAATAAACTTTAATTATTTCATTATTATTTTCAACTTTATATTGATGACTTTAACGAAGCGTTTAGGTGTGATGATTCAATTCAATTTTCTCACACAAAACCGATTCAATTAAATCAGCTCGGTTAATAACTCCATTATTTCCGGTAGCTTACCGGCGATTTCTCTCGTTATAAAAAACCTATTGTCGGCAGTTAGCCGTTGCCAAAGATATTAAAGAATGAATGGCAATGGCCGTAGAGCGCATCCACGTTTTCTCGCGACCTGTAGTCGTTTAGTTGGTCGATCGAATCGATCGTGAAATAAAAAAAGGAAAAGAATCGACGGCCTTGATACTTCTTCTATACATCGTCTTCGTTCGGCCTTTGAAGGCGAATCAAACCAACCTCTAATGTTCTCTATTCGATTCTAACGTTCTCGTACACGTGATGGGCAGGTCGCCTGACTTATTACAAATGCAGACATTCCACGTATCTCTTGGCCTCTATACCAACGAGAAACGTGTGTGTCTTTTCTGCATATAAACAGCTATCTAAAGTGCATTTTCTTATTAAGAAAAATCTATTAAAACGGTATTGGCATTATCATAACGTTTTAAAATAGTTACGTTTACAATTACCTCGACTTGTCAATTTAATCAATAAATACACCATAAAAAATAGTTAATTTGATCGTAAATACCCGACCTATTTTAAAATCGTTTTTAATTAAAAAAGAAGTAGTGTACGAAATTGTCGTGAGTAATGCGGGTTGTCATTACAAATGGGAAGTCTTTTATAACTCATAAAGGGAGTTTCTATAATTATCTATAACCGAGAAAAACAGTATTTATAATAGTCGCGTTGATGTGAGGACAATGGCAACACACTTTCCACAAAAGATAATATGGCATATTGTTTCTGTTCTGACTGCGCACAATGATAATCACAAAACTAACAATGACGCTAAAAAATTACTTTGTTAATAGTTTCTTTTAAAAAATATAGGTATAAGCGGTTATTTTTTTACATATTTTAAATAATTTAGTTTTTAACTATTTATCATAATAGCTTATTTTCTTTAAATTTTTCATTAAAAACAATCGAGTTGAACCACAAAATATTTTAAAATTTATAAGATTCCAATAAATAACTACGGAGTTGTTATCAAAATTACGATGAAAATGTTCTATTCAAGATACCCGAGTCTTGATTGCAGCCTTGTTGTAACCTTCCATCGACACTACCAAATAGGACATCGAATGAAAACGAGACAATGAAAGATTGCAGAGTTATTGAGAATAGAACGGAAATTATAAGTCTTTGGAGCACTATCTGTAAATGATTCTTTATAGAATGACGCTGTTAATAGAGTTCTTAATGAACAATAAAAATTTGGATGAGAGTTCGTGTTACATGAGTATGATTTCTTTAATTTAATATTTATTACCCGAACAGAGTGTTATTCAAAAAATCATAACTAAAAACTTTATGGGAGCAAGAAAATAATTTTCAATAACCTAAATAATGATTGAATTTGCTTTAAAATAGCTTTTATTTGAAGGTGATATCTAAATTAGTTTTTGAGATACGACATTTTAAAGTTCTTTTATTATCAACGTATCCTCAATGACTAGTGTACTTTATTTGAAAGATCGTATCATCGTGATTTATAAAAATTAAGGAATTATATTTTATGCGTTAATATTGGATTAAATTTGCATTAAAACGATGTTTATTTCATTTTGATATCTCACCAACTTTTTGAGATATGATTTTTTTAATTAAATATTTATTACCCGAACAGAGTGTTATTCAAAAAATCATAACGAAAAACTTCGTGGGAGCAGAAAAATAATGTTGAATAACCTAAATAATGATTTAATTTGCTTTAAAATTGCTTTTATTTGAAGGTAATATCTAAATTAGTTTTTGAGATACGACGTTTTAAAGTTCTTTTATTATTAACCTATCCTCAATGACCAGTGTGCTTTATTTAAAAGATCGTATCATCCCGATTTATAAAAACTAAGGAATTATGTTTAGTGTGGTAATTGAATTAAATTTGTGATAAAATGGTGCTTATTTCATATTAATATCTCACCAAATTTTTGAGATATGATTTTTTAAATTTAATATTTATTACCCGAACAGAGTGTTATTCAAAAAACCATAACTAAAAAATTTATAGGAGCAAGAAAATAATGTTCAATAACCTAAATAATGATTGAATTTGCTTTAAAATAGCTTTTATTTGAAGGTGATATCTCAATTAGTTTTTGAGATACCATGTGCTAAAGTTTTGTTATAATCAACCTATCCACAATGACTACTTACAATTAGAGTGCTTTATTTAACAAATCGTAACACAGTGATTTATAAAAATTAAGGAATTATGTTTCGTGCGTTGAAATTAAATTAAATTTGTAATAAAATGGTGCTTGTTTCATATTGATATCTCATCAACTTTTCAAGATATGTTTTTTAATTTAATATTTATTACATGAACAGAGTGTTATTTAAAAAATCATAACGAAAAACTTTGTAGGAGCAAGAAAATAATTTTCAACAACCTAAATAAAGATAGAATTTGCTTTAAAATAGCTTTTATTTGATGGTGATATCTAAATTAGTTTTCGAGATACGACTTTTTAAAGTTCTTTTATTATCAACCTATCCTCAATGACTACTGTGCTTTATTTGAAAGATCGTATCATCGCGATTTATAAAGATTAAGGAATTGTATTTCGTGCGTTGGAACTGAATAAAATATGTATTGAAATAAAGTTTATTTGATTTTGATATCTAATCAAATTTTTGAGATATGCTTTTTTTTTTAATTTAATCTTAATTAAACAGCTCGTTTTAACCAGTTTTTATTGCAATTTGATACGTCATACATTAGTTTGTTGAAATCGCCACTTCCGAGTTTATGTAATAATTGCTGTGAATTTTCGCACCCAACAGATAAATGTATGGGTCTAATTCAATGGATAGCCAAAATGTTCTAAGTGAACAATAATTCATAATTTGTTTAAAAATTAAGTTGGAATTACGAAATATTTACATTTATAATTAAAATGAATAAAATGAGAATTAAAAACATTTTGGGTTTTCAAAATGATCATTTTGTTCTGAATTAGTTCATAATATAATAACAACTACGTTCTTTGTATAAAATAATCATAAAAAATATAATTTCATTATTAATTCAACCCAACCCAACTAAATAATTATCACATTTCCTGTGTTATGTTACAATGTAGTTACGTACAAACAGCACTTAAACATTTTTTGTTGATTTTTCCAACTCCACCCAACTCAATAATAAAATTCATTATTTCCTGTTTAGCTTTTTTCTTCACGGAAATTTCCCTAAACACACCATAAAATCCGTTACTTTTTTCCTAATTAATCGATCTAATAGCAAAAAAGAATCAGCACGCGGTCGTTACACAATATTTTGTCGTTCTAGTGGTAATAAAACAGGACTTCCAGCACCGTCGTTGTCGCAAAAAAAGGACAACATCGCAATCGCGCACGTAATTGAGCCACTCTTGAGTCCCGCATGCGGAAAAAGAGAAAACGACGTTTTCCAAATGAGGAAGAGGACGCATTTTTGCTTATGTGCCACCGTGCTTGACACTTATTGAAACCGACTACGACGATTCCCCGATTTTTTTATTGCGCTCATTACGAAAGGGTTTACATTGGAATTTTCGCGAAAGCTAAAGCGTTGTCGCGGAAGTAATTTAATTAAGCAAAGAGACTATTAATGTGCCAATTAATTTTCGGTTTATAATACGGTTTTATGACCACCCATTAACCCCCTGTTGATTTTCAATGATAATATTACATTAAATATAATTTTTTTAGTAAACATACCATGTGTATTTTATCCATGATTTCGTTCAATTGGTCTTTAGTACACATCTTTTTCACAATTTAAAAAAATCCACAAAACATAAAATAATTAACACTTTAAATCGAAAATGTCACATGGTTTAAGTTATCTTTTAAACTGTTTAACATTTTCTTGAAACTTTTATATTACAACACTAATTAAATAATAATCAAGATAGTAGTAATTCTCGTTAAAATAATTAAAATTAAAAACGGTCTTTAAAAGTTGATTATGATTAGTTTCGCTTAATTCTATCAATAACTCGTATTTCTTGTGTTAGTCGTAACACAGTGAGGACTAAGAACACTATAGTGTTCACTGTTCACAGGTGAGCGAACCACTACAACGCGACTAACCACGAGGTTTACCACTCCGAGAACAGGTGCCTTCCATCTGCACAGAACAAGCGCAATGTCGACCCAGATGGCGCCGCGCAGGTTTGCGCTTGTGAAAGTGTGTCCGAATTTCAGAAACTCTTTGAGATGCACCTAAGAGGATAACGTCAATAAACAGTTATAAACGATTCATCAGGAAGCCAAAGATTAAAAAAAAATTAAACGCTGAAGAAGTTTTTAAAAAAAGCTTAAGATAAAGATGAAGATGTGGTACCAAAAATGGAAGATGTTAAAGCTCGTGAAGCACATCGCACGTTTATGACACATTGACACAGAAAAGAATTCTCTCATCCAACTAGTCGTGTTGGTTGATGGTTTGTTAAAAGACTACGCAAAGAACCGTTAGGTTTGAAGTTCCATCGATAAAGGCACGTTTGGTTTATGGGTTGTTGGGCGTCCGTTTACGCTTTGTTGTTGTAACGGTGCAAACTAGAATCCGTCGTCTTTTTCTTCTTTAGCTTTCTTTACCCAGCAACAAAGATCACGATCAATTTATTGGTTAAAGTTGTCCCTTGTTTGAAAGTCTTCAGAATTAAACGTTGTAATGATTTTGCGGTTTTCGACACCCACTTCGTTTATCTCCATACACTTTGAATTCATTAATAGTTAATTGCGAGGTAATTCGTCAAATAACTAACGGTTACACATTTTTCTACTAATTGAAGAATTTTCTTATTTCTTCTTTTAACTTAGCAATATAAATGCAAATAGATCGTTGAACGACAGTAAAAAAAGATTGATCTTGTCGATCGTTGAAGTTGTACACAACCATTCAACGATCAAATCGCGAGAAAGACGATAATGGCTTATCGTTTAAGGAAGGCACCGAAGGGTAGATGAGCTCCTTGTATCTTTTAAACGGGGCAAAAGGAATGCCAATTACTGCGGACTTAGTGATACCTCGAGGTAGTTTTGAATAGCCTATTCGGAATGTGAACAAGATCTCTTCGTCGTCGGCTCTTCGGATTTAAGTTTGCATATGCGGTGGGAACACAGCTAGCCAATTGGAAATAGTATCGAAGACGTTGTTCGTTCAGGTTTTATGCCTTCTTGAACCGAAGTTAATTGATACTGATTGGTGTAAATTGGTGACGGAGGGATCTTGAATGAGACAGAACAATGGAATTTCTTTGATAATTGAAACGGCTTGAAGATATTTCAGTTTTATTTTTTTATGATTAATTGGAGAATTACTTAATTTAGAGGGGATCATGTGATTTGTGAGAAGTAGTCTCAACCTCTAATTTGTTGCTAATTGATTTTTCTACATTTTTTACTATAGTTGATATTTTTGCTTTTCTTCACCTGCTTCCACTTAAAGAAATAAATTTGAAGAAAGATGTTGAAGTTCTTGCCTGAAACCATAATGACCCTCATCTCAACTCTAATTTATCAGTAATATTCTTTACAGGATCAATTACCTGTGCAGAGATATTGGCAAAATCTCTATAACTGCTATTAGTATCGAGTTCTTACGCATAGTACTCCTCAAAGATGTTATTTATGATTTACTCTTTATCTTCAATCGCACTGTTAATCTTGTCCTCTTCTTTATTCATTGCACCTTTCGTGTTCTGATTCGTTTCAGGCCTCTTTCATTCAATCTCTTATCGCTTCGACTCCACAATAATACACTTTCACTGTATGCTAAGTGTTATGTGCTTGTGGATGTTAATCGCTATTTTTGATGGTTTGAGGTTGATGAACATTGCTGTGCTCATGTACAGTAGAATTTGGTTTTTCTGTATGTTCAAAGTTTGCTAGCTTATAGTATGATACCTGATATGGCGTACGCGATTATAAGATACATCTTATTTATCTATTTTCATCTTAGAATTCTTATGTTGTTGGCTAGTTGCCTTGTACGTAAAATGTAGGGAAATCCCTAGTCTCCGCTCTTTGTTTTCTGGCATCGTATCAGCACAGAATAACTGTTATTATCTGGTATCAGTTTGATTCTTAGTTATAGGTATACGTTTGGTTGACTTGTAAGAACATCGGTCTCGAATGTAAGCAAGCATAAAGCGATTTGAAACAAAAACATTTGGAAAACTACGATTTCTGCATAACAAGATACGTGGAATCTGCTTTATTAAAATTGTTTCAAGTTTAAATGTGCCTTTCTCTTCATCACTTGGGAAACTGACATCTGGTGACCTGTCTCTTGAATTTTCTCCTGAATCATAAGTTCTTCATGCCGGCCTTTCGTATTAGCCGAATAGTTTAAGTATGTATTATTATTATTGCTGCCGGGTTGAGGGGAGCGGCTCGTCTTGTCACTGCGACATATAAAATTTATTGTAACTTAAGCCCTCCAAAGGTTTTGGACAAATCTATGTCCTTGATGAACCTTAGTATTGCTTCAAGGTGTTGTTGTTTTATGTCAGTAGGTGTCAGGCGAATCGTTCCGAAAATTTTGTGTCTTAGACATGTATTTTGATCCTCACCTTGTCCAATGTTGAAAAGGTGGTATTTTGGGGATATATGGCCGGTCAAGAAATCGGAGAGCGACCTTAAGTCCCCTTTCCTGAGGCATAAAACCTCTTAAATATAGTATAAATACTCTTCGCCTGTGTGTGTTCTGGAAGTTTTTTCTAGCTTAAGGCTACCTTTGAGATATATTAATTACCTATTTTAAGTGGCTTTTTTTGTAGTCCAAAGTCGTGTTGGGGTCCAATAAAGGGCGTCCTCGCTACCTCTTTGGCCAGCTTGTCCGCCTTTTCATTGCCCTTAATGTCTTTGTGACCTGAAACGCACCGTAGAGTTTTGGCGAGTTATCTTAGGTTGCCGGTAAATTCTCTGACCAGTGCGGATTCACACGTGTAGGCCTGTATTGCCTTTAGGGCTGCCCGACTGTCAGTGAAAATGTTTATTGATGCACCTTTCTACCTCTTTTCTAGGATCAAACCGGTGCAGAAGTTTATGGCAAGAACTTTAGCTTGAAAAATGGTTATATCCGAGTTTAGGGGAAACTTAATGCGGCTATTTAGTCCAATAATGCCCAGCTCTACTCCTGATCCAACTGTTTTTGAAGCATCGGTAAACGAGGCTCTTTTAAGTTGAGACTCACCCTTCGTCCAATCATCCTTGCTACTAAACATGACCTTATATGGCTGGTTGAAATTATATTCTGTCATATATGATTCGTTTTAATTTGAATCAAGTGGTTTAGTCATGGGTCCCTGAGGATTTCGAGATGTCCTCTGAGGTTACCCTGCATCAATTTGAGTGAAGATCATGTTTTCTGTGATAGAGTTTAAATATACGACGCTGGATTGGTGGTAGTAATCTCTCATTATTGCGTATTTTTAGTTCGTTGTGAATCAACCCAACATTTCTTGGTAACCAATCATTTGAAAAGTTTCAATCCTCCTTCGGCATGCAGCATTTATGATCCAGTATTCTTAGCCACATATTGCAATAAGAAACACTGACGATTTCAGAAGTATTGTTTTAGTTGCTTTGTGAATACGGTGGTCTTGCCAGATTTTAAACAATCTCCTCAAAACCTCTTCAGCCATTCCGATTGTTCTCTTTGTTTCTTGCTCTGAGCCTAGCAGCAGATATATTATCTTCGTGCCCAGACAGATGTTCTCATCCTTAACCCTTATGTATATTAGCTGCAATGGTCGAGGTGCCATATCTACCCGGTTTTAATCATTTAGTCGTTGTAAGAGTTTGAACATTTTTTGTTTATCTTTAGCGACAGTGTCGTTTGCGTATAGAAGGTTCGAGATCTTTTTCCCTCCAATAGCTGCTCCACCTTTCCAATTTTCTAGCGATTTCCTCATTATTTATTGATATTGAATAGCATCAGGGAGAGAATGCATTTCTACCTTTCGCCTTTTCTTGCTCTTAAATACCCCAAGTATTTGTTTCCTATTTTTATTTGTCCTAAGTTGTTGTGAAATAGCTGTTTGGTAAGATATGAAGGTCAGATGGCCAGAATCCCATTTCTTATAAAATATGCCTTGCTGTCCGAGAAATAAAACAAAAGTGTCTATATTTAAAGACGAAAGCTGAAGAGTTTGGAAAATTACTAGATGGGTTAGATTTGCAATGTACTAGAGGATGGTTGGAACGATTTAAAGCAAGATATAATATCATTACCGGAAAAAAGATAATAAATACGTCGTTTCTACTTGATTAAAGCATCGTTATGCCATAACAGGAGTTTACTGTATACAAAGAATCTTCTGAAAATTCAAATAAATATTGTGATGATGAAATCTTCTCGATACCAGAAAATGAGAGGGTTCTAGAATAATGGTTTATTAATTTATTTGGTAGCGAAATGATCTTATTACTGAATGTAAATAGAAAAATAAACAAGAACATCTCACCGTTTCAAACAAGCATGTTGTTGAAATGGTAATGTTGTTTCGATTTATTCATGTAAATTAACCTTATTTTATGTTCTCTTAAGGCTATCTATTCATATTTACACTAATACACCACGAATTTCATCGTAACTGTACAAAGTTATCTCGAAGTTGCCATATTCTACGCAATAATGCAAACCACGAGTTATCTCGTAATTGGCAGCCAACGTATTAAATACATAACTACAAAAGCTTCGTTCGCACACCAACATCGTCCCTTGGAGAATTCCGAAATTACTCCGACTTTAATTGCATCCGACAACCGACATGTGAAAAATAGAATCTTTTTCAATTTCATTCAAAATATGTTTCTCATAAAACAGTATGTGGTGTTCAACAAAAACACCGCAGCACGTGTTTTATGCAAAATGTCAAGTCACACAACTCACGATCGAATAACGGTTGGTGATACTGTGAAAGGACACACGTTTAGGACCCACCAGATAACACCGTCACGTTGGTTAATGACTTCATAGTTTAACCTCCACAAAGAATTATGCGCTATGGTGGTGGTGGAAATTCAACTTTTTCATTTCGTAAAGATAACGCCTTTACAACCCACTAACACCGGTAAACAATTAGA